AGGATGAGGAAGAGTGTGACGAGGACTGCGTGGAATGCGAGGAAGAAGACGAAGAGGAGGAGGAGGAGGAAGAGGAGGAAGATGAAGAGGAACACGAAGGCTCGGACATGGACATGGAGTACGATTATTACGACGACCTGGAGGAATCCTACTTTGGCGTGGCAGATCGCGACGAGGACCTCTTCATACAACTCGAGGATGTATTCCCGGGTACGGCTCTTTCCAGATCTTTTCCCTGTGTCGTCGTATCTGGTCCCGGTTCCCTTTTGTAGACTAAGATTGATCCACTGTTTTTTTCGGTGTCTCGTTTCTATGCCTGATAAGTCCTTGCCAGCTCGCGGTCCCTTTTGACTGAGAAGAGTGCTGCTTTACCAAGTACTGTTGTATTAGAACATTTTTATATTGTATCCAACTGCTGTGATGAGCAGTCTTTTATGGCACCCCCATCACGGTCATTACAACATCGTTCCACTGTGTCACGATGGTAGCCCCGAATGTCACATACGTGGTCATGTGGGGCATTAGAATGCTCTTTCAGCTGGCTGTACATCAACATTGTCTCTGCTTTCGACGCAAAGGCGTCCCTCAAACTGTCGCAGTTCTCTAGGGAAAGTTTTAGGGGCTACAAAAAAACCCAACAATATTACACCAAATCTAAAGGCCTTAAGGCCACTTCAGACTTGGTTCGAGCATGTGACGTCAGATCATATTATTCTTGTAGGGATTTCACAGGAGTTGAACACATTTCAAGGGAAGGGAATTATGCTGCAAATACGGGCCTGAAGTATGAGCTGGTCTTCACATGCTTATTTCCTCCTGGGCTGGGAGAAGCAATTATTGATAATGTGTCATACCCAAGGGTGCACACTCCACCATCCCACAGGCCAGACTTGAAACTGCAATCCCCTGAATGATGTCATAGATTTTGAGTTCAGGCACTGCAAGCCACTGTGCTGTACATGCCTCACCCCACTGTGGAGACATGTTGTGTCAAGTGCTGTGAGGGCCACAGTACTCCGTGCACTTCTTCCCTCAGCGTGAGCAATTGTGGTGACATCTTGTGTCCCATGGTTTAATGTGCCTAATGTTTGCCTTGTTGGCTGGTTTGCAGGTGAATCCTACCACCACGGATCAATACTAGGAGTGCCCGCGTCCATCCGCACGTACCAGCTGCCCGTAGCAGTCCATGATGATAATGCAAATGGTCAGCATCCATTCCAGCCATTATTTGGCCGTGCCTGGCCTTTTACAGGGTTTGATATATGCCAAGTCATGAAAGGAGGCTTGCTTTTCTCAGCAACTAGCAGTTACTGAAAAAAGATCGCAATACGCGACTGTTCTGCAGGGAGCTTTTACCTATTCCCAGATTGCGGTGCCATCCTTTACAACAGTCCATAAATGCTGTGCATTTCCAATTTGGGCATGCATTCCCACCTTGGTACATGTGTCCATACCCAGTTGCACACCTTATCAAGCGCAGTCTGGTCTTATGAGAACACAGACGGAAAGAGAAATTTACTCTATAAATTTTGACATTAGCTTTTTCCAAAGGTTAACTCATTTCATTTCAATCTTGAGCCCGAAGCACAAACAGCCAAGTCAAGACTGCCCTCTAAGCTTCATTTTGTCAAATGAATTCTTATCAAGCACTGAAGAAAACGGATTTCTTATATCCAGGGCTGCACCTTTAGTAGATCAGTAAGACTTCTGATAAAAGATGTCAGTTGTTAGCATTGGGTTATCGTTGCCTTGCAGGTCCCAGCATCCCGGCCGCACCAAGTGCCGTGACCACCCACCACCCTCTCCTCATCCGCCACGCCGATCACACCAACCTGACTCATGGCTTTGGCAGCAGCAGTGCGGCGGCTGCGGCGGGGGGTGCCCGCAGCCACCGTCCCAGGGGCCAGCGGGGTCACCGGCACGGCCAGAACCCCACCCAGACCGTCCACATCTACCACTCGGGCAACGCCCGGCCCCCAAGCGTGCCCACCATTCTCAGGTCAGTGTGGAGCCCAGAACTGCCAGCTTTCTACCAGATATTGGACATGGTTTAATATGGAAAAAGCTGTAAAGGCTGTGGTATGAGTGGATGCTGCTGAAAAGGTTGATATTTACACTATTAATTTTTTTTGGGGGGGGAGGATTTTCCAGTGTTTTTCCAGTGTTATTCAGCAGACTTTTGTGGTCATGGACTGCACAAGACCAACATCAAAATCACCGGACACAGTCCGGTGGTCCAGTGCAAAGTTTTAACCCTGGGTAATGACCCCAGCTCCATTCAGGACCATATTTTCTGCCAGCATGAACAGCATGTATTCTCAGTTGAAAAGCAAAGTCGTCAGAACGTTCCATCGCATTCCAGCTTGTCAGACGCTCCTGTTGGAAGTGTGCAGGAACTCCGAAAAGTATCCCTATAAACACACCCCCCGCCCCCTTCCATTGTTTCTCTTCCCTGCAGGCTTCTCGGTCTGTCGTCGGCCGCCGACATCGTCCAGCTGACCTCGGGCGGCGCCAGCACCACCTCCTCCAGTAGCCAGACCCGCATCTACCTAGCCGACTCGGCCGACGACCCCATGATGCTGGGGGGCCGGGGAGGGGGCGGGGCCGGCGGCTATGAGGGCTTGTATGAGGACCTGTACCAGGACAACCTGAACGAGGGCTACTTGGCTGGCTCGGACCCAGTCTCCAGCGTGCCCACCACCTACCAGCGCTGGGACGAAGAGGCCAGGCTGCTAGATGGAGCCAGCATGCATGACTGTGTACAGGGTAAGGATCAATTTGCTGTGCCCTCAACGGACACCTCCTCTCAAACAAAAGGTCAAAATGTTAGTATATCTTAATGGCTTGGTTATTTGTTACCTGCCCGAGTTCATTTGGGCTACACTTTATGTGTATAGGTTGCTTTGTCATTGCTAGGCCATGTTTGCTGAAGCTGGGAAAAAATTCGGCTGCTTTTGTTTTTCAAGAATTACAAAAAGATAAAGCACAGGATTCTCATACGTAAAGTTGTTCACAAGGAAATTCTTGCCTTGTTACATGAAGTTATTAAAATCCCTTACAACTCACAGTACTTGATTGTTGTCTAATTGCATTGCTACTTTGCAACTACTTTGCTGGATGTGTCTGGGATTTTTTCGTCTTTGCTCGATCACACCCTTGCAACAAGATAACACTCACCTGGTTTTGCTTTTGTTCCTCCCCATTTTTTTGACTAATACCCCGGCCAGCCCTGAAACCAGACCTCATCGAGCTCCTGGAGAAGCACAGGGACGAGGAGCTCGCCGAGCGCCGGGAGAAGCGGCGCAAGCAGGCGGAGGAAGAGGCAGCCAAGAAGGCCCAGGAGGAGACAGAGCAGGCCCCCAAGAAGAGGGATGCCAAGAAGTTCCTGGAGGAGCTGTGCAAGGAGGAGGAGGACGAAGAGGATGAGGCAGGAGACAAGACTGCGGCGGAGGGCAACAAGGAGAAAGAAGAGAAGATGGAGGTCAGTCGCCCCAAACCAACACCTCACCAGTTGTTCATTATTGGGTGTCGGCCTTTTAAAGGATAATCGTAAATACCTCAGACGGTCTCCCTGTTCAACAACCTGCAGCTTGAACTTGTATTAACCACTTGCCGCCGGGTAAAATAGTCTCTTGAATCACAAGCTGCCGGGGAGTGCTTTATGATTTTGACTTTGACATTTGTATTCACCATACTTGTCACCATTGTCTGTTATGGAGTTACATAACGGCTTCTTTGTTTGCCTTCAGCCCCCAGGAATGACAAACAATGGGTGGGCTGGACGATGCGTTCGTCGGCCAGGCTGGTTTAGAGCGCTGTGGTCCTTCGTGCCATTGTACTTCACAATATGATCACAGCCTATGGTGACTCATAGCAGTCATTCCTGTCCCCAACTTAGGCCACCCGGCTGTGTAAATTGGAAGAATGTGCCCGCATTCGGGGACACCCGGCCCTAAGTGGTTAACGTTTGATAATGCCCGCTGAGAAGTGATAAGGCCCGCTGCGTAAATCACGCGCTTGTATCTGGGTACGAGACAGTTTAATCGACTCTGATTGGTCAAGAGTCTGTGTGCACGCGGCTTGCCACATGCATGCCAAGTCCATATAAGGAGATTCTGTTGGACAACTTGCACAAGGAATATACTACAAAATGGACAGGGGTGTTCCAGAAAATGAAAGTAGAATTCTAGAAAAAATTGTTGGAAATCCATCATATATTGACTTACTAATGTTTCCGACTGGCCCAGCATATGTTTATTCCCTTAGTCAAATCCACTGACCATGATCATTTGCAGTAATCCTGGCGATGGCGATCAGCATCGTGACAACTATTGTGCATAGCCACAGCTCTGTGATGGTCGCTCTGTGCAAAACCCAACCCAGTGCTGCTTTCCATCATTAACCCTCCTTTGGTTTAACAGCACAAATGTGCACAAATGCCCACAGTCACTGGTCAGCATGTGTTTTCTATATTGAACACAAACATGCACAGGTTCAGTGTGTACACAGTTGGTTGCCAGCACAAAATGACACAGGGTCTTTGTGCAGTCCTCTTCACTGCATTTGGTTTACTGCACAATGATGCACACGAAACAGTGAAGCACAGTTCTTGGGCAGCACAAAAGTGCAATCTGATATTCCTGTGAGGGACAGTTGGTGCAGTGCACAACACGACACAGCTGTGCTTCTTTGAGATGTTTACCAAGTGACCCACCAACTGACCCATAGAAGGGTTAAAGGGGACCATCAGACATTTCCAGTCAAACATGAATGGGTTCTTTTATATTTGAACTGGTAAAGAGCGGATGACATACATTTTACTTGGGAGCATTTTGGGGCAACTTTCTAGCCCTCGTTAATAGTTATATGAAAACCACTTAGCACCCCTTTTCAGTCAAAATGATTGAAAAATGCACCATTTTTTAACTTTCTTTTCCACATGTCACAAACCCACAGTTGGTCCCTGCAAAATTAAAGAAAAGGTCGTAGTCAGAAATTAGCACAAGATTTTTTTTTTTTTTGAGTCAGACAGCATCATACTTCAGGATGTTTTATATGAAAACAAAGTTCCAGTCTTCCTTGTGATTGAATGAAGAGCTGTAGAAATTCCAAGTTCCACTCAGACAAAAGTTGGGTCTTTTTGCTGTGTTCAATATACTAAAGTTTGAAATCATCAAGGCTCGTAACTCGTACGGGGGGTTGGAATACAGAAATAGCTGATTGGCTGGTTGTTCTGTCTTGTAGGTGACAGAGGGCGAGTCACAAAGTGAAGCAACAACCTCCAGCATGCCTGATGCCTCTGGTAGCCCAACACCGGCCGATCTGACAGGTAGGGCCTTTTTAAAACTTCTTCCAAAGCTGGGGCTTCATTGTCATGATCCTGAGTTTCACAATCAATTCCAGACATTCACTAAATGGATATAAAGTAAACTCTGAGTAAGTCGGCATGGCGTAATCCGTCATATCGTCCAAGTCCGCCATTTGACAAAAGTCCCGATCGTCTGTAATGCTTTTCCATTGAAAATTTCATTTCTAAGCTGTAGTTTGACATTTGTCATGGGGAGGGGGGGTACGGTGGGAAGTGTCTTAATGAAACCCTTGGATTCTTGTGTCTACTGTCTTGTAGCCGGCATCAACGAATTGGCTTCATCCATAGCGGCTGCAGCCGTGGGCCTGCGTACATCGTCACTGGTACCCGGCAGCCAGGCCGCGTCGCTGACCGCCTCCGGGGCACCCAGCTTGCTTTCCCCTGATTCCTCATCGTTTGTCTCCACAGCGACCACAATGGTTCCAGCGATCAGTTCCATGGAGAGTCTCCCAGTCGTGCCCTTGGCTACCACAGACCGGTATGTGTGGCTGCTTCCCAGTCGTGGTTGCCACTATTATTACCTGGGCTCTTGGAGCTGGCTGGCTAATTTTCACGTCAACTAGAACTTGTTTAACCACTTTGATTCTGAGGGCATGTAAAGCGGAATTTATTTTCTCTTGACAGTTACACAGAGATGTGGAAAATTAATCTGCCAATGTATGTTGACAGTATAGGGTGACGTGTGCACCTTCGTGCTGTGGTTGTCATTCATTTTGTACGTACACACACCCAGTGCCTGGCCTGTCCAAGGACGTTGACCAGGTGTGGTACCCTGACTCGGCTATTGCACGTGGCTTCTTGTTCAAGCAAGTGTTGCTCTGAGTGAACCTGTTTGCTTAGCTCCAAAAGGGTTACTAAAGCATAGGGCTTTTCAGAATCCGTGTGGCTACTGTGTTTAACCAAGTTTCACTGAATGCCTGAGTTTGCTAAGTGGATTTTCTGCTTAACAGCTGAGGAAAATTTGCATAAACAGCTCAGTGCAGTTTGCTGGGTTGTCTTAGATATGCAACCCAGAGTAGCATTTATTTCCTCCCCAGAACGTGTGTCAGAAATGTCATTGGTATCAAATCAAAGCTTAGAATGCTGTCCTTTCAACATGTTCAAAGCTGAAGGCTTCATTTAAATCCGACGATGGGTTATGCGGATAATCTATTGGGTTGTATTTTTTATGGGATACCCCGTTGAGGTGAGAAACAAGTGTGTTTTTATTGCCTTATGTTGGCTGATGGAATAAAAGGACACTTTTGAGCTGGAAGATAATATATTTAGTAGAGTTACATATTTGGATATATTGACAGGTCAACTGGCGAGGTGGTGACTTGCTCCGTCCCCATCACCACCACTGACCCCCAGCTGGTCACGGTGGTGGCTTCTACTGCCACGCCCCCACTGTCGGTCATGTCCATGCCTTCCAGCCAAGACCCGTCCACCGCAGCGAGTGCCGGCATCAGCAGCAGCAGCAGCAGCAGCAACAGCGGCATTGCCCAGGGTGCAGCGGTCGTGTCAACGTCATCGTCAAGCTTTGCCCGGGCCTCCACCATCCTGGCTTCAGAGCCCACGTTTGCCTCCCTGCTGGCCCAGGACTACCCCGTGCCGGGGGCCAGCCCCAGCGTGCCAGCCACCACAGCAGGTAGGCGCTGCGAATTGCTTTCTTACCCTAGCACTTCCAAGGACTGACCAGTACCAGTAATGAAGGTTGTTCTTATAAAATGGAAAATTCCCAGAAAAAATGCCACCCAAATTTCTTGCATTAAAATCGTACTTGCATTAGAATAGTCACTGAGACTTACATTAAAATGTTAATGTGACATTGTTGACAATTTGAATGGTATAAAAGCAACTTCCATGCACCGTCCATTCTTTGAGAGTTTGTTCTTGTCTTGAAATGCTCCCAGTCTGTCTAATTTGTTTTGCCCGATAGAAAAGGAGCAAGGTATCCCCTCCACTCCCCCTGCCCAAGGGGAAGAAGGGAAAGAAGGCCAGTTCACTATGTCTATGTCTGAATCACATGGCTATGACTAGGTGTAACACACGTGTCTTTGAAAAGAGCCTGTAGCCAGTAGCCGTCATACGTGACTGTTTCACTTCTAGCCGTAGTCGTAGCCGTAAGATTTGGAAACGGCCTGGATTCCAAGCTCTGCAGATTGAGGATGCGATCACATTTAATACTTGCATCAGTTTAGGAAACCACAGTTTGCCTGTTGTTTTTTCAAGGTTCATCTGTTTCCAGTCAGCCTCCAGCCTCCTCTACCTCCACCTTGGCAGTCACGGAGCAAACCAGCAGTCAAGGGTCAGTCTTCTTGTTTTTTCCGCTGGACACCTGTTGCCTGTGTCCTGTTCATGACCGAGAACTCGGCCTGGCATGAGTTGCATAGTATTCCGATCTTGACGGGAATTGTTAGGATGAAGGGGCCAAAATGAAGTCCTGAAAACTCTCATCGGTTACCAGTCACTGTACTGCATTCATCCTGAACAGTGTCGGAGTCCTACATTTCCAACCATGATAGAAAGCTGCTTGTTTCACTGTATGGCCATCTTGCAGCCCCGGTTGGTTAAAAGGCAGAACAAAGGGCTGAAAGACTGTCAAGGAAAAAAAGGACAGAACTCCAAATCAAAAGGATCAAGGGAAGAACCAGACCCTCATTGTAAACAATTTGTGGAATGGTTAAAGGCACACTTAATGGAGTTCATGCGAAATAGAGTATACCTTTGGCGGCACTGGGAAAGCATTCAACTGTCTCTGATCAATGTTAATGAATTCTGCTTACCAACAAGAAGCAAGCAGTCTTGTTACTGCAGGTTTATTGTTACTTATTTGAAATCTCATAGTAATGTTTCTACCCCACTTTTTTTGAACAGTGCCGACACTCCACCCTCTGACCCGTCCGGGAGCAGCGACGCCCTTGGTGGTAAGTGTCTTATCTAAGTGTCACCTGCTCCCCCCTCCCATTTCAAGGAGAGACACTATTGCACTTGAAAAATCTCACACTCCTTTAGAAAAGTGTTATAGCTGGCCATATTTTTAAAGTGGGGCACAATTTAGTAATGGCGAACTGGGGAAGCAAAGCTACTGGAGTCTAGCAGGTCACTGCAGAGGGTCCAGGGACCTGCTTAAGGAGACCTTAGCTTGCTTTTTCTATGAGTTTTTCTTTCCAAATTAATAAGAGTTCAATTTTTAAAATTCTTCCAGGTAACAATATGAAATTTTCATAGTGACTGATGTTTTTTCTTGGATTTTTAAAGGATTTTTGTGCCGGTCTGTGGGCTATTTCATCAAGATTAGTGCCGGATGGTAGAATTCTGAGGTGGAGATCCCAATCGGCGCCGACCGGCGTAGCTATAACACTGCTCTAGAACATGTTCTGTAATGACTCAAGACACAAGCAAATACAGTAGATCCATCCTGTGAACAGTTCCAGCCTGACTTGTTGGCAAGGATGTTTAGAAAACTCATGGCTCTTTTGGGGTCAACAAAGTATTGCTTCCAAGCTTTAGTGTACTGTTTCTATTTGGGTAGTGCTTGCCAATCGCCATGAAGTGGTGAAAGGTTTCAGCATTGCCTTGATGCTGTGTTCTAATACATGAGTAGGCTAAGGTCACTTCATCACTACTTTATTGCGCCATCTGGAAATATATAAGTGCTGTGCAAGTTGCAATGTCAAAGTTTGCAAAATAAGTCATTGTAATTGTATGTGAAAGCCATTCAATATTCCTAGTCAGCTCGTAACCTTTCACATGGAGGTTGTTCTGAAATAAAAAAGCAGTTGACATGTTCTGGAGAGAACTCGGTCTCAGCTATTGGGCATTGTAATGCACCTGCACGTGAAAATGTTTGCCGTAGGAAGGTGTTTTGTTTGCACGTTTCATATCTGATGCTTCCCTCCATCCCACAGATATCAAGCTACCCGAGGGAGTGGACCCGTCTTTCTTAGCCGCCCTCCCGGAGAGCATCCGGCAGGAGGTCCTGAGAGAGCACCTGGGCATCCGTCACTCCCAGCCTCCCGCCTCCTTTGCCTCTTCCTCTTCGGCGGGCGCTGGCACCTCTGGCAGCACCCTGACCGTGCCCACCAGCTCGAGCGCTGCTTCAGCAGCCGCTGCTGCGACGACAACGCTAGATCCTAACAGCTCCATCAGCCAGGTCAATCCGGAGTTCCTGGCAGCCTTGCCTCTCCACATACAAGAGGAGGTCAGTTGTGAAACTGCTCTGTAAACTCCCAAAGTTGGCCCACACACGCTGAGGGTACTTGGGGTGTTTCTTTTTGTTCTTGTGTTTAAAAAAACTTAGTGTGCGAAGTGGAGTTGTCCAATTGCTCTCATTTAAACCAGAATCACTTTCCTAGGTTAAACATTTTTTACCAGATGTAACTTAAATAACTTCAATTGCTGACTGAATATATTTTGCTAATTCATCCTTTTTGAGTAAATTCCAAAAGTTCCTATGAAACCAGAGACCAAGTTGAGATGGAGAATCACCCCTGGATGTACTGTGGTCTTATGGTTGAATCAGTCTACTCAATATTTGAGGGTAAAACTGGTCTCTGTCTTTGTATCTCAAGGTCCTCGCCCAAGAGAGGGCGGAGCAGCAACGCCTGCTGGCCAGCCAGCAGTCGGCCACAGCCGCCGCTGCAGCTGCCTCGGAGCCCGTGGATCCGGCCGCCTTCATCCAGAACCTGCCCCCCGGCCTGCGCCAGACGGTGCTGGCCGACATGGACGACTCGGTGCTGGCCCTGCTGCCCCAGGAGCTGGCGGCCGAGGCCCAGGCCCTGCGCATCGATCGGGTGCTACGCCACCGCCAGCTGATGCAGGAGCGGCTGCTGAGGGAGACGGGTATGCTGGGTGCTATCCTCCAGAGTTCAGGTGCATTCGAGGGGATGGGGGTTCGGCCAAAGGGAAAGAATGCAAACTTGAAACGAGAGGGGGGGGGGTCAACTTGAGGTGTCCAGACCCACACAAATCCATGTTAACCACATGCTGCCGGGGAGCCCGGTTTCAGGCACATAGGCTTTGTACACGGAACCGGGGAGCCCGAAACCGAACAAAAGAGCTGGGCCTTGTAACAAAAGACCGTACTCGGAACAAAAGACTGAGCTGCTGGGAATTACCAACATTTTTTTCAGTTGTCAATAGCGAAGGAAATCTGTCCTTATTTTGAAAGATTATACCACTGTTTGCGGCATTCGGCATGAGTGGATTATTACCGGGGAGAAAAGCACTCCAGCGATGAGCGATACAATCCTGCTGCATGCTAATCTGGCCCCTATTGGAAAGATGCCAGTAGCGCACTGCGCCAGTTTTGGGAACAAAAGAAAGTTACATAACACTGCACAATCTAGGCTCTTTTTACAAGGCAGCAGGCCTGGCTGAAATACTTGGGCATCAATAGATGTTGTCTGTCAGATTAGACTAGTCACCAGACAGTCATCCGTGTGGGTGTAAACGTCCAGTAAATGAAGCCATGATTTTTTTGAAGAATTTTGAAAATGAAAAATCTTGAAAATCTCATGGTTTTACGTCATGTAACTTCAAATTCCACCCGGTAGCAAGTGGTTAAACCTCTAGGTGAACCTGTAGATACTCTCTGTTTGTATTTTGCATTCTTCCCTAACCCCTCCTTGGGACCCCTCTTCTCCCTCCACACCGTCAGGCCTAATGTTGGTCTTCACAACAGCCGTCTGACTGACTGACCATCCCTTGTGCGGCATCATTGCCTCACAGAAAAGCCACTTTCAAAGCTTCCAATACTGCGCTGGCCCTTGTTCAATGGCTTGTATTTCACAGCCATCTTATTTGTCAATCCTTCTTGAATATTTGTCATTTCTATAGCGAGGGAAAAAGTATGCCGATTCATATGGCCCTCCCCTTCTGTCTCAGACAAGGAGGTTTCAGTTTACATTTTGCAACTGATCACTCAAAAGCCTGTTTTGATAACCAAATTGTGTAATAATTTAAGCGGAACCTCCTGTAAAAAGAGCAGAAATTGTCCAAGTTGCTTTTTGTAAAGGTTCACATCCCTGGTAAATCTGAAATTCATTGCTGTATTACAGATTGCAGTATCGGGCTGTTACAGTGCGTTGTCCTCTGACTTACTAGACAGCTACAAATAGAGCTGGCTTTTCTTATTCTAGTTCCACAAACAATTTCAAAATCCTCATTGCAGACTCGAGGGGACTGCTGGTCTGCGTAATAAGCCATTAATAACGCTGACCGTCTCTTATCAAGTGTTGTTTGATGAAGTGTGAAGATATTAATGGCAGGAAGTTTGGTTTCTACTCATTTCAGGCCTGTCCAGTCGGCTCGGGCAGGGGGGCATTTACCGTCTGTCGGTTCCGCGGTCTACCAGCGGTTACTCCTGGAGCTGGGGCAGCGGCTCACGGGGTCTGAGCACGGCCCGCAGCGGCTCGGCCAACACCACCACCACAGCCAGCGGTGGCCTGGCGCAGTTCCAGGGACGGCAGCTGGTGGACCTTGAGGCCCTGACCTGCCTTCTGGTGCTGCTCTTTGTCAATGAGCCCAAGCTGAACACAGCCCGGCTGCACCGTGTACTGCGCAACCTCAGCTACCATCCCTCTACCCGCCAGTGGATCCTGCAGGCCCTGCTCGGCATCCTGGAGAGGACCAGCGGCTCACCTGTCAAGGGCACCCCGATGCTCCAGGAGAGCCGGGTCACCGTTGGCGGGAGCGTGCCAGGCGGCAGCGATGTGGATACGGGTTCCCGGGGGGACGGCAGGATCAATCAGCACCAACAGCAGCAGCCGTCGTGGCTTTCCATCAGCATGGACGCTGCCTTGGGCTGCCGGGCCAGCGTCTTCCAAGTCCAGCGGGGCAGCAGCAAGAAGACCAGTGACCGCCAGGGAGCCCTGGTCTGCATCCACCCCCAGGCTGCGCCCCTCGTCTGCCGGCACGTCCTCGAAACTCTGGTCTCACTGGCCAAGGTGTTCCCCCACCAGTTTGTCCCCCAGAGACCCAAGGACCTGCAAAAGAGTGCATCAGAGAGCGGCAGTGGTAGCAGTATCAAACTAGGGGATACGGCGACCCCCTTGTCACAGTCAGATAGCCTGACTTCAAATCTGAGCCAGACATCTACCTCCGGCGGCAAAGCTGGCTCTTCTTCCTCCTCTTCCCGGCTAGAGGCGGAGTTCTGGGACCTCCTGGTGCGGCTGGACAACACCTCGCTGGGGCGCAAGGGGAAGATGACCAGCAAGTCGTCCGGCTCGGCCCTGGACAAGGACGGCAAGCGCGGAGCAGACACGGCCCACTCGCCCATGGCCGTACTGATGGGCATGTTGGCCCACCCCGTCGTACGCCGCAGCACAGCGCTGACGGACAAGATGCTGCACCTGCTGTCGTTGGTGTCGGCGTCCTTACCCGAGACGGATAAAAGGGACAAGATTGATCAGTCAACAATCAAGAGCATTGCCAGACTGAGCAGGCAAACAGCCGAACCAGCTCAGGTGGGAAAATTATTCTTACGTCACACAGTTCCATCAGGGGTGTCTTTTTGCACAACCAAAGATAGTCATGGGCATCCCCGTCTCAGGCGGGAACACTTGTAGAAATAGCATTCAAAGACTTCTGAGAGTTAAAAACAACTCAACGCTCTCTTTTTTAACATCTGCCTCCTGAGGCACAACTAAAAGAGGCAAAAGCCAAGTTGAAATTCAGAAAGTGACATTTGGCAGAGTTCCATGAGATGAGTGTGCAGCCATGACAGGCAGTAATAAGCGCAGAATTGTGGGAAGAAAGAGCATAATATCCTGAGTTTTGGAAATGAAAAGCTGGTCCATTTCGCTTGCGGTCTGACACGCAGTAAACAAGAAAAGCGAAAGACACCGGATGTGTTTGATCCTCAAGAGGTCTTTGTTAGATGCCAAACCACAGGCAAGCAGAAACAAGTTAGTGGAAAGCGCTCAGTCTTGAAGAAGAAAACAGCTGAGAGGGAGGGAGTGTGTGGAATGGGCGGGGGAAATGAGATGAAGAGAGGGGATGAGGCCTGAAATGAGACAGAGATCAAAATGGGATGAGGGAAGTGATCAGTCCTCGAGAGGGGCACCTAGTATATCCTGTAGGCCCAAATTTGACTATTCTCGTGGCGTGGGGGAAAAAAAGTTAACTTGAGTGGTTGCAATGATGGTGTCTTAACCCTAACACTCCTCAGTCCTCCAACAGGTGAAGGATTGAGGAGAGTTAGGGTTAATAAAGGCACCTGGAGGAGTATTGCCATTTTGGGAGTATTGTCAATGTGGCTTGGCTACCAGTATGGCTGTGTATTACCCCAACTCTTGCCTGTGGCCAGGATTAACCCTCCTAGGCTGAAGTCACTCTTTGGGTCACTTGGTAAACACCTCAAAGAAGCACAGATGTGTCGTGTTGGGCACTGCACCAACGTGCCAGAGAGTGACCTTGGGCACTTGTGCATTTTTGTGCTGTAAAACTAAAGGAGGGTTAAGATGCGGCCATGGAAGCCGGTTTTAGGCAGCCGCTGCCTAGTTCCCATAGACGTATGTTTTTCCCAGCCACAACCAAGTTCTTTGGACATGGCCTAATACTGCTTTCTTCACTACATCCAGTCTGCTCTAGTTGTTCCCCTGGTCACAGCCGCACCCAGGCCCTTTGTCTAGTGCTGTGGATATCTCCTGCAGCATGGCAGTGCCAGAAATGTAAGCTGTATCTACAAGACAGCCAATTTGGGCTTAGCCATGGAAATGTGCTTAGCTCAGTAAAAGTATGCTCAGTAGAAAAGGTTAACCGTGTGCATGAAGAGAATGTACATTACTTGAGACAAGTTTTCTGCTCGGTTTTGCTTAGCACAAAATCTGCTAAAAAATGTTCTCTACAAAGGGCTTGTAAACTCATGCAAGTTTCCAAATAGTTTCCAAAAAAAATCGTGTGTCCTCTTGGAATATTTTTTGTGACACAGCCCTGCACGCCGGCCCAGTCGAGGCATGATTCGGTCAGCGATGGCACGGTTACACCCTCGATCACCGACTCCGCCTCTGGGGAGCGACAGCAGGCACCGTCCACGACGAGCAGTGCCGGAAGCCCCATGGACACCGCATCCATCACGGGTAGGGGCTGTTTGTAGGATTTTTGCAGTCGTTGCCTCAAGTCAAGAGCAGTGCCTTTTCATTGCTGTGCTGTTTTGTTGTGTTCACAGTGACTTTCTGTGATTGATTGAGGCACAAGGAAAAAGATTATTGGGTTACATATCAAGCCTGCACCTCCAAGATCCTTTAAAATCTACCTAAGATTAAGGAAGATTAAGGAAGGTTTAGTCTAGCCAGTTTTCCTTAGTGTGGTACTGAATGCCTCTTGATAGTTGATATGGAAGATTATTGGAGAATTCAACAAGGCTTCCAGCAAAATTCCACCTTTTTCTGGTCATATGAATTCAAGAAAATGCTTCTTTGTTTCAGTACTGAAATGCCCAAGTTAGTTTGCCCCTTGTGAGGAGTGTGAAGTACCTGTTTGTTGAGCATCACGGCTCACTGTCTGGACAAAGTTGACCCGGGAAAATTGTTGTCTGTGGTTTTTGCCAGATGTAAGCGACACTCAGGAATTGGAAGCAGACAAGCGGGAAGAGAAACAGGCTGCCGAGGCTGCCGAGAAGACCATCATAGAGGAACGGCTACTCAAGCTGGCTGTCGATGTGAGTACAAGAGATTGAAAAGACAAGCCCCATCCCCCCTCCCCCCGAAAAAGAGGAGGAGTCAAAGATTGTTCCTTTGACCTCCTGTGTACTAGTTTAATTTACATCTCCAGAATGGCTGTTGTTGAATGCATCACAAGTCCAGTTACAGGTCCTGTCACCTGCCCCATCACAGGTTGCAGGGGTGCGGCCGAGTTCATGGCCAAATTCCAGGCCCACTGGTTTGCAGGATTGTAATGGGGGCGTGGCATGGGTTGCTTGTTCATAGAATGTTTGCCTCTCTATGCTGTGGCCGGGCCTCAATTACTGGTGTTATCCATGTGTTGATAGAGGTGGGAGTTGGTTCCCTCCCGCACCCAAGGGTTCCTACGGGTGATCTGTGTTTCCTCCTCTTTAGAGGTCAACTTTTTCTGTCTCTGGCTTGACTCCTGGGTCACATATTAGCTGCCTGAAGATGGTTTTGCTTGCCTTTGCAGCAGTGTCTGTCCTTGATTCAGGCTCACAGCCGCAAAGGAAGGATAATTATTCGCCCAGTAAAGTCAAATATCTGGATAAAAAATGTTAACAGTCGGAGTTTATCTGTCACTCTGTGAAGGTTCTGACGGCTCACAGCTGCTCCGAGGATGGCCTGGAGGACGCCACCACGTTACTCATGCAGCTGTCGCGGGGCCACGGCTTCACCAGACAGACGGTGCTAGCCCTGCTGCTGGAGGGAGCCAAAGAGATCGGCTACGCACTCTGCAGGTCAGGAAGGCAAACACGCTGCTCTGAGGTCCATAGTATTGATTTCAGAATTAAAAACAGGAGTTCATATTCACGAGTGTGCTCAAGGCCCCTCCGGCATCTTGGCCACTCATCCCATGTGGAGCCAGTACCAGCAATTTTCACATGACAGTGCTCCACCAAGAAGTTTGCGACAGAGATCTCTTTTTCCAAGTGTGTGTGGGACAAGATGGCCTTTAGCTCCTGTTTTTATTATTCATGTAGCCATTCTCACAGCGTAAAACAAAGAAAGGCGAGGAACGGCAAAAGTACGAATACTGTGGTCTGAAGACCTGCAGCCCTGTGGATATTTATTAAATATTTTTGTTTCAAAGTATTTGAGCAGCATTCTGCCTCACAAATACGAGCAATTCACAACCCTTTCTGAACACGCATCGGATCGACAGATTTCTCGCTCTGTGATTGGTCAACGCGTTGCAAACTCTTGGAGGCGCACTATTGTGAATTGCCCGTATTTTTGAGGCAATATTGATACCAGAAATACACTTAGTAATCTTTTACCCCAAAAGAACATGCATTGAGAATAATTTAAGTTCCCTGTGTGGTGCCAGTGTATAAAATTTGTTGACCGTTTCCCTCAAACAACTTAAACTGCACTCCAAGGTTGCAGTAGTTTTTTGACAATTTCTGCTGTGTCTGTTGAAATTGATATTATTGTTTGATACTTTGTCAAGTGATTCCAAACCCTCTAAGGTGGCTTCTAGTTTTCAGAGAAAACGCTCCAAGTTTAACAGACTTTCATTGGAGATGTGGCTGTTTTTCAATACTGCAGCGACATTAAAAAGCTCTTGGCAGAGGTGCATCAGTACCAGGAAACGTCAGAGCTGAACAGCGAAGACGAAGCGTCCACTTCTGCCGGTGCATCGTCAGGCCACGCGGCAGCGGGGACCCTGCGCGACCGCTTCAACCCAAGCACCAGCGTGGTAGTGAGCGCCGCCACTCGGCGGCCGGGCAACGCCAAGCGCAGCGGCTTTGAGCTGCGGCTGCCCTCTATGGCACTCTTCACAGCCAAGATGTCCAACCAGAACCTCTTCCTGCGCATGCTGAAGGTGGTGGTGCAGCTGAAGGAGGCGGCCAAGAAGGCCGCCAGGAAAGCCTCCGCCCTCAGCAAAAGCTGTGAGTTCTTGCTTTCTTCCCCCTTCCCAGCAATCACATATCCAGTAATACTGTTGCTCAGGGCAGTGACCAACCAATGCAACTACCTGATCCGACCGACCAACCCGACTGACAGGCCCGAGTGAGAGGCCTGACTGACAGAACTGGCTGACACCACTGACTGAGCTGACTGGCCGGCTTGAGTGACCAACCCGACGGACCAACATGTTTTGCTTCACATGGCGCTAGTGGCAGGCATCGCGGGGGACCTGCAGTCTCTCACCGGTTCCAGCCTCTGTGACTGCATATCTCTCAGGCTCTTGCTCACAAGATTTCTCTTCTTTCTCCCTCTTCCCCCACCCCCCCTCCAGTGAGTGGGACAGCCAGTCATCTGGCTGCTGCCGTTGCAGCGTTGGAGGCCAACGCCAGCGAACACATGGAAGCCATGAACCGTAGAGGGCAGGCTGCTGTCAGGACATCGCAGGACGCAATCGTCACTGTATGTATATTAACCCTTTGTGCTTCTGTTCCGTCTTTGATTCCCTATAGGGTTTGAAGGTAGAGTTTGATTCATCCCTGTAGTTCATCATATTGTTTGTATAATGCCTTAAAGGGTTGTTGAGAAATTATGTAAAAATCGATCGGAGTCTCAGTAAATGTAAGGTATTTTGAGAAGCTAGCCATTGACCGTGGGGATAGGGAGGGGCTTTGCGGCATGTAAGTGTAGGGGTCAGCTCTGTGCAGGTTACATTGTGCCTGGTGGTGATGTCCCAGCATGCAAGACATGTGCAAAGCGTAATCTTCAAGTGGTAGGCAAAGCTCATGGAAGATGCAGCGCTCTGCAGTAAGCCAACAACAATTTGTCTTCACTTTCTGGCACTCCTGGTTGATCATTGTTGTGCCCTCGGGTGCGATGAAGCATATGTGTAAAGTCTATGGTTTCTTGGCCGCACCGTCTTGTCTGTCTGTCCTCTTGTCTGTCCGTATTCTTCACAACCAGATGCTGGATTTTGGCAGACTCTGAAAGCTTAAACACTGTCATGAGATGAGATCCCAGTGGCCTCAATTTCTTTGTTGTATGCGACCCAACCCAACAAAATGAGGTGCAACTTGCCAAGAGGCCTTCATATAAACCAATCAGCAGAAATTCTCAACATTTTCAGCCCACATAATGTCCATTGTGATCGGATGCCAAACTGAGTGATGCGTTAGAACAAAGAGTTCATTATCTTAAAGATTCTTGTATGAAGTCAAACAAAATTTGCTGATGAAGATGGACTTATCTAGTGGAATCCAGTCTGCTGCTGCGTGGCCCTCACTGTTGCCCCTTTTGTGCTCTCTTCAACTGTCGACCTTGTCTTTAATTCAGACATCGCCCGTCACTGGCACCAGCACACCGACCACCACTGCTGCGGCTGCAGCCTCCGGGGTCACGTCCACCCCAACGCCCGCCTCTCTTCCACAGCAGCAGTCTGGTGTCGCCGCAGCCGGTCAGACCTCCGGATCCAGCAGCAGCAGCAGCAGGACTGCGAGCGGTGGATCTGCGGCGGCCGAAACCCCCATGGAGGTGGACCAGCCAACTCTGACCAGCGTTCAGCAGGGGGTGGCCGCGCTCAAGCAGGCATCGCTGGACATGCAAGGAGCGGGTAGCAGCAAAGCTGACGAGGTACAGGCCTGAATAAAAAAGTGTGGTTACTCCGGAAAAAAAAAAGAAGAATTGTGAGATTCCTTCCACGGTGAAGTGAAAGCATAAAAAAAGGTCATGTTGGAGAGAGTGGCTAATCAGCTTTTGCAAGCAACTAAATTCTGCCTTATGATTTATATGAAAAAAATGCGCACCAAAAGAATTAGAGTATAAAATGGAAGACCGTTGTTGAGTTTGTTGAGATGTGCAAGGGTATTTCCATTTTCTCTCTCATTTCTGGATTCTACATGCTTTAAATACTCATTTGCTCTCAGTCGGTGGCAGGATTTTTCAGGTAAAGGGGGGGGGGGAAGCAGCAACCTGACACCATTAATGGGGGAAGGGGACCAACTTCTTTTTAAAGTGACTGACGATTTTCATCCCAATTTCTTCCCCTTTTTGCTTCTTTGGCACTTGTTTATTCACATTTTTCTAGGAGGGGGAAGGGAGGAAACTCCTCCCTCCCCCTCTCCCTCATAACTCCATGGATTTGTTACTGTGCTCCTTTGTTCTAGCCTGAAGACAATGAGCCCCGTCTGAGCAGTCAGCTGGCTCTGGACGAGCTGTGGGACACCCTGAGCGCCTGCCTGACGGACTTGTCTCAGACCCCCGATCACCACTCCGTGCTGGTCCTTCAGCCAGCCGTGGAGGCCTTCTTCCTGGTCCACGCCTCGGAGAAGGATGGCGCCAGGGACGCCTTGGCAGGCGGCAAGCCCCCGCTGGCCAGGGACGGCAGCCTGTCACAGCCTGTGCCGGACTCGGCGCCGCTCTCCCCCATGCCGCTGTCCGCGGGCGGCCTGACCACCAGCGGGGCGGGGTCGTTCTTTGCCCGGGAGAGTTCGGTCACCTCCATCGTTACAACCAACATGCCGCTTGACACCCAAAAGTTCCTCAGCTTTGCCGGTGAGATTTGTTGTCATAATTGCCATTCCATAAGCCAGGCTGAAAAACTGCTAAGGTTTTATCTTGTGAAATGTACCCATGCACACATGAGCAATGCAGATTCCACAACTATCCTTTTCTCTGTCTGTCGGAGCTTTCTGCAAACGAAATTTTTCTACTTCGCATTAAGAGTTATCTCAAAACTTGTCCGGGACAAGTTGAAGACATTGTTGGGGGTTAAGTTGTGGAATTGTTAATCATATCTACCATCTTCCCACAATGATGCAATCAGCTTGTTTACACGTGCCCCCCCCCCTTACTGTGGTTTGCGATTTGGACCAGGCTGGGCACTCAAGGACACACTGTGACTACTGCAGTGGAAGTAGCTCAAATTGTTCTCAGTAGACAGCTCTAAGCTGACCTGCGTGTTTGAGCTTTGCTCTCCAACGACCTTGCCTTTTTGAAGTACCAAACAGGCTCAATTGAAGTTAACCACAGTAGTAAAAAAATATTCCTTGTTATGTGATCTCGAGTTTTATGACCCCCGTTCATTCATCCTACCCCCTGTATGTCTTTCAGAGATGCACCGTAACGTGCTGAACCAGATCCTGCGCCAGTCCACCGTCCACCTATCAGAGGGGCCCTTCTCTGTCCTGGTCAACCACGTACGCATCCTGGACTTTGACGTCAAGCGCCGCTACTTCCGGCAGGAGCTGGAGCGGCTAGACGAAGGGGCCCGCCGGGAGGACATGGCAGTCCACGTCCGGCGCGAGCACGTCTTTGAGGATTCGTACCGGGAGCTGCATCGGCGCTCGCCGGAGGAGTGGAAGAACCGCTTCTATGTGCTCTTTGAAGGGGAAGAGGGGCAGGATGCTGGGGGACTGCTCAGGGAGTGGTACCTCATCATCTCAAAGTGAGTGCTGCCGCCGAGAGCTTTCAATATTTGTCTGAAGAAGGAACCAGTGGCCCGGCCTGGCTACTGAAAGGCAATTTCTTGTTATCGTCAAGAAATTTTCAGTTGCAAGCAACGAGGTTTTAGGTTTGAGTCTTACCAGAGCAAAGTTCTGAATTTTCTCTGCAATCTCTCAGACTTCATTGAGCCATTAAAACAGAAGGTTATATTGGCAAAGGGCAGGATTCAGTATCATTTGTTTTGTTTGGTAGTTTTGCCCTTTTTTCTGGTTCACTCTGATTTGGTCACTTTGCTTCAACCTGTTAGGGAGATCTTCAATCCCATGTACGCCCTCTTCAAGGTGTCGCCCGGCGACCGCGTCACCTACCTACCCAACCCTGCCTCCCACTGCAACTCCAACCACCTCAGCTACTTCAAGTTTGTGGGCCGCATCATCGCCAAGGCCATCTACGACAACAAGCTCTTGGACTGTTACTTCTCCCGTTCCTACTACAAGCACATCTTGGGAAAGCCAGTCAAGTAAGGAAAGGTTTTCCCCCTGTTGTCCTTCCAACCAATGTTTCAGCCAGACAGTTGTCTGGTTGTCTTCTTGGATGCCCTGTGGGCCAATTTGGACAATTTGTTTTGTTACACAAGCGCACCCGATAGTATTAAATCTCAGCAACTTGGATGGCCCGTTTGATGCTTGTAAATGCTACTGCGGTGTTGACGTGTGACGATGCTAGAGTCTATTCATGGCAGTATGTCAGTGTGGCGACTATTGTTTAAGAGGAGCTAGCCAAAGTGTCAAGTTAGCACCTGCAGGTTTTCATTAGGACCTGCTCTAGGGCTATTAGTAGTCGAGTCCATCACAAGTCCCTGCTTGTCCATCACACATCCATCTTCAAAGGTTTTTCCGTGTCCAGCCAAGTTACAAGCTGTGGCAATGAGCTGTGACATGAGCGTTGTGTTGTCCGGCGTGCTACTCTTGATCTGGCTTGTGACTGGACTCTGGAAAAGTCATGTGACTGGACTTCTGATGGGCTCGTCTACGTCCCTGGCTGAGCTCTTTTTTGGGGGTGGGGGGAACATTGCATTCACGTACCATTCACAGATTTTGCACTCTTCATCAAAACCACCTCTCTTGTAAGTATTACCCTGTCTGTCACAGTGTCTTGTTGGTCACTCCTTGTAACATGTTGTCTTGTGCCCCGACACCCCACAGGTACACTGACATGGAGAGTGAGGACTACTCATTCTACCAAGGTCTGGTTTTCCTGCTGGAGCATTCGGTCACTGAGCTAGGCTATGAGTTGACGTTTAGCACAGAGGTGGGTGTAACTCTAGATTCTTCCGTATTTTTTGGCTAAATGTGACGGGTACACACAAATTCACATGTATAATTCGAAGTGAGCGTGAACAGTTTTCAACAGAATGTGTACAAATGTGAGTTGAGAGAGATGCGTGGGAGGTTGGAAGCACAATGGAAATGATGCAGCATTTTTCAAGGTTTTCTTATGCATCAAGACCCCACCGAGTGACTTGCTTTTGCAACATGAATGTCAGAAAGTCATTTGTACCGGTGGAAGACAGATGTGATTCATCTGCGTCAGTCACATATGGACTGCATCAAGGGTAACGGAGTAATCTCCAAATTAACAAGAATTGTGTTTTTTGGGGGGTGCTGGTTACTTTTTGGTGTCCATCAGATCGAGGAGTTTGGCGTGACTGAAATCCGTGACCTGAAGCCCAACGGCCGCAACATCCCCGTGACCGCAGAGAACAAGCTGGAGTACGTGCACCTGGTCTGCCAGATGAAGATGACGGGTGCCATCCGCAAGCAGCTGGACAGCTTCCTGGAGGGCTTCTACGACATCATCCCCAAGCGGCTCATCTCCATCTTCAACGAGCAGGAGCTGGAGCTGCTGATCTCGGGCCTGCCCACCATTGACGTGGATGACCTCAAGGCCAACACTGAGTATCACAAGTACCAGGCCAACTCCTTGCAGGTGGGGCTCTTGTTTCTTTTCTTTGCATTTTGGGTTGGTTTTTTTTTAAAACCAGTTGACGATGGTACTGTTTCATGCAAAACTTGTCCAAGGTGCAGGAGTGTGTTTGTTTTTACAGCCATACCAGAGATTAAGCAACTTCGCTTTTCCTTTACGGTTTGGGCAGAGTGGGAAGGTGAAGGACTTGTTTCATTTGATTTTTGGAAGACTGATTGGAAGATCGAAAATCACGTCCTTGTTTGCTCCTGACTAAATTTCGAGGAAGGAGGTGAGGTGGTAGCTGGCATGAAATCAGCAGATGATCGTGCATGAGATTGCAAAGAAAGAACGTGTTGAAAGAGCGAGGAAGCATCTAGCACTAAGGGCCAAGGAGATTGGGGGTAAGACGTCTGCCGACGTTGTCTTCCAACTTGTTTTGATGCTCCACGTTTGCGTGTCTCTCTCACACAGATCCAGTGGTTTTGGCGCGCCCTGCGCTCCTTCGACCAAGCCATCCGCGCGAAGTTTCTCCAGTTTGTGACGGGGACCTCCAAGGTCCCCCTGCAGGGTTTTGCCTCGCTGGAGGGCATGAACGGACCCCAGAAGTTCCAGATTCACCGGGATGACCGGTCCACAGACAGGTTACCCACTGCCCACACATGGTGAGTTCAGTCCCTTCCAACCACTCCCCAAGACAAAAAAACACCCTTTGCATCATTGGCGCATTGCCCAATCGTTGTCCTATGGAGTCGAGCAGTAGGAGACCTGTTTTATCTGCCAGAAACCTGTGTTCTCAGCCGGAAACCTGTATTAGCACATTCAAGTAGCTGTTCAAACAGAATTACTAGTTTGAGGAGGCAAGTGCTGATGTAGGTGGGAGCTTAACATGAACCTCTGTGGAATACTAATCATCGCATCTCTACCAACTGAGCTACAAATGCATTTGTATTTTACTTCCTAGCTTATCGTATTTGCTTTGAGAGGTGTCATTTTCTGAGAGAGTTTTTTCAAACAGATTAAAAAATTACGTATTAGTAAAATATAAGTATTTGAATTGTGGTATTTATAGTATATGAAACAGTTTGACTAGTCCATTCGGAAGTGGTGTATGAGAACCACTCTTTGGGTTGCTTGAAGTCTAACCAGCCTGTCTCATTTTGCCCTCTGGTACCATCTAGCTTCAACCAGCTGGATCTCCCAGCCTACGAGACGTACGACAAACTACGCAAGATGTTACTGCTGGCCATCGAGGAGTGTACAGAAGGCTTTGGCCTGGCCTGAAACCGGAGGATAGAGAGAAATCCCTGAGACACTATGCTTGGATCACCCGTGGTTTATCCCCTTGAAGTTTTTAAGGTTTTGCTCCATTGCCTTGGGCATGAAAACCCTTTAATCTGGTTTGGGGCCCTTGTGTTTGGCCAACCCCTGTTATAAATCCCTGTCAATAAAATCTACAATCAGCACTCAGTAATTCTCACTGCAGCCATATTGAATGTCAGCAGTATTAAAATTTTCTCTTGAAATGATTGAAAACTTTTCCTTAAGACTGTTATTCTTAAGGTCACTTTCCTTCTTGCTTTTGCGTTTTGTTTTATGCTCTACAAAATACAGTCTGAGCAACAGGGCACTCCAGTTGCTTTATAGTTTGATGGAGGATTCAGAAATTCCTTTTCTGAGTCAAGAATGATATGGCTTCTGATATTAATAATGCTTCCTTGTATATAGGACTGGTTTCCCCCAGTGAGTCCTTTCTTTTGTGGTCAGTTTATTGACAATTCTGCATTGTTGCGCCTCAAAGGGGGTTAGGTGACCTCAGGAAGTGGCTCTTGAGGCCACATGAAATACAGGCCAGACGTGGCCGCTCAGGCCTTCGAATAGATGTCTAGGTACTCACGTGACTTGGCTGTGCATCAGCACTTGGCTGTGCATTGGCACTCGGCTGTGCATTGGCACTCAGCTGGGCATTGGAACTTGGCTGTGCATTGGCACTCACCTGTGCATTGGTACTCGGCTGTGCATTGGCACTTGGCTGTGCATTGGCACTCGGCTATGTATTGTCCCATGCTGGCTGTTGGCAGGTCCCAGTTCAATGCCAACGCAATGGCTTGCTGACGGGCCACTGTGGCCGCCAAATGTAAACCAATCTGGCTTTCTGAGCACGCAGCTACATTAAGCAAGGTCCCGTATCATCCAGTATCTCACCTGGAAATATGCTGTACCAATTTTGTGTGCTCAACAAACAAGAGATCTTCAAAAAGTAGCAGGTGACAACGTGGAAGGATGTATTGAACGACATATCTGCAATAGCTCTTATGCCAAATGAGCATTGCCTGATCTGATGATGATTCCCTTGTTGAGAGTTTTTCAAGTCATAAAGATCCAACCACTGTTCTTTTAGTCACATTTCAAGTCAGAGACTGTTCCTTAGGGTCATTCTTGTGACTTTTAACTAGGGGTTTGATTTGGGAGTGGTTTGATGGCAACTCTGAAGCTCTTGGCACGAGCATTTTTTTTACACGGACCACTGATGTTGTGCTTTGTGAATGGGTGATCATTGGGATCTATAAACTAACCTGGAGTAGTGCCAACATAAAGGGTACCAAAGGTTAGGAGACCAGTCCAGCATTGTACAGAAACCCCAGAAGCAGGAATATTGTCAGAGATCAATTTTTGAGAAAGACTTTCAATCAACTTCTCTACGTTTGAGGAGATTCCTGACCATCTATTGAATGCCTGTGAAAATACCATAACGTTGATTTTTTTTCTTTTGTTTCTCGCTTTCTCTTTGGAAAATATCTGGGACAGTTTATAAACCGTTTGTAGGAGTTCGGTATGCTAAGTTTTGCATGGAAGGAACGCAGTTGATGGCGTTCGAATGTTGAAAATGGTTTTTTTGCTGATTCCAAATGCCAGTTTTATATTTCCTAAACAAGCAATTTAAACAAGAAAGACAAGGTGCATCATACATAATTATATTACTTAAGTATAAGGAATATACTGTTGTACCAAAACAATTGGTAGAACTTGTTTGCTTTCACCAGTCTAGGTATGAATTAGTTCTGAGTGTAGGGTAGTCTTGAAAAGTATATTCTAGGTATAGTCATTATAGAAATGATATTGTATGTTACAGATTTATGCATTTAAATAGCTTTTTGGTCAGAAGCATGATGACATTCTTTGTAAAATTCATTATGCTTTTGTTGGTAAAAAATGTATTGAAAATAATTTAATCCAGCTCAAGTGAAAGGAAAGTGTTGAAGTTTTTGCTATGCGTTTGAATTTTTGCTAGGCGAACATTGTCCATCTTTTTTCTCCCGATCCGTGGGTATTGCAGAAACGTACTCTCAACTTTCTCTTTCGAAGACGTGAATTTGCACACTGGGTAATTTATGTGTTTCTACATCTCACTTGAATACAACCGTCGTAGTAGATTATATGCTCAGTGGAAAGTCTCGCGTTTATGTCGTCAGTTTCGTATGAAATCTGTTTTAATTTTCTGGACTTCCATTTCTTATTTTGAGGTATAATTATTCACAGGTTCCAACTTTCCGTAGGCTTTCTTTCCTGGGCGAGATACTGAATGAAAGTGTAAAAATTAAGCTGGTGGAAAGACTGCCGCTGTTGCTTCGTTTAACCCTTGACTCTATTTACTTCCTTTTTCGAGGGAATGGGTGTATAAAACCGAAGAAACGTTATCTGTATTAAAACAGTTTGAATTCTGTGAATAAAATGATGTTCCGGAAATTTCGTTCAGTGTCTTTGCGTGTGGAAGCCTTTTATTGATTGGTCATTAATATATAGAAAAAGTAAGCTGGCTAGCCATGGGGAGTGGTTGGCCGGCTTTATAACTGGCTGCTTACATTGCATTTGAATGTTGCGATTCGTGTCTGTTGTCAAAACTTCGTCATAAAAATATGAAGTATTTCCACCGTACCGCATCACACCATGGAATTTTTTTTCGGTTCGATGCTCGGTAAGGAAAACCTGTAAGGGGGGGGGATTCTGACATTCATAAACTACATGCTCATAAAGATGAAACAATGGGTTTGCATAGCTGCCATCTTGCAGCCCAATTCTTTTGTTCCTCGGGTCATGCACAAAGGAGGTTTCCCAGTGGAACAGAACACTACCACGCAAAGCCACTTACGCACTTGTGTAGGCCCTATACGGCATATATGTACACCACACACTGTGTTGGTTAAAAACCAATCAAGGAAATCTTAACTTGGCGCTGAGAAGTAAGATACAAGAACGATCCTCTGGCACAAAAACATCAAAAAGTAGGAAAAGGATGTCAATAAGGCTGCTTTATTTATTTGTTCTTAAAAATTAATCTTTTTCAGTTGTGTCTAAATTGAACGTACATGTATATACATTGGGATTATATCTGTCATTGGTTCGGTTACTGTCAGCCAACGAATTTGGCTTGGAAAACCTATTATGTTTTTCCGAAGAAAGTACTGACAACGGCGGCACAACTCTCAGGGAGGGGGAGGCAGTTGTGATACCATCAGGCATCAGCCAATAGGCTTCCCATTCTAGGACCTGCAAATCGTACGGGATGGGCATGCTCGCCTGTCGTAAAAGGGGGGGGCGGTTCCACCGCTTTGCGTAATGAGACTTTTCTCTGTATAGTTCTGCAGGCAGCCGCAGTGCCCGTCCGAGGCTTATGATCCTCAACGTTTCCAATTTGGCAGAAGTGGTATTTTTGCCCCCATCATGATAAGCAAATATTCAGTCGGGAGAGCAGCTCATGTACACTCAGAAACAAGGTTGTTGCTTAGTGACCTTTCTCACTCCGCCCGGTAGGTTTGTGTCACCTCAAAATTTTGTTACTTCAAAATGTGTAATGCCCCATTTTTTAAAGGAAGTCGTATTTTCTGTTCGTATTTGGTGGAGGTTTCAGTTATTCATCCGCTGCACAGGACCTACTTTTTAGGGTTAATGCTCGGACAAGATACAATTGTGATCCCGTCGTTATTCCCTCCTCCCAAATCCACATTCCCTTCTACTGGCATTTAAATTAATCAGAGGGTGTCCCCAAGTGCCTACAAATAAAAAAAACCGCAAAAAAAAGGTCAGAGTACGGTCACGGTACCCTTTTTCCAGTCAAAGGGGAAGGGGTCCCACCACAATCAACAAAAATTTGACACCCCCCCCAAAGCAGTGAAACTACTCAGACAGCTGTCTAGACAGCTCAAAGACACATCACAGAGACCGACCGTTGATATAAGACAGACCCAGGCTTGCCCAGGCACTTGGTTTGTCAATAACCATTATCGGCACGTGGCTTAGATATTTACATACTATCCCCATGGGACTTGGCTGGAGGCAGGCTCTGGAAAAGAATTGCTCAGCTCCGGGGAAGTCCCTATGTTAAAGGTGACTAAACTAGACTGTTCAGTATCTACAGAGAGACAAATTAACAGGAGGTTTTTGCATTTGGCCGAAATTTTTTGTTTAATTACGTAATTAGAAAAAATTGGATCCCCATGGGAGCAACTCCGCTCTGCGTCAGGTTAAAAAAAATGCCTCGATAGCTGCTTGAGAATGTTACTCACCGGGTGATTTACCCTTCAAAAGCACGCCCTCTCTTGTTCCGCTCAAAAATTGTTCCGAGCAAAAATTCTACCGTGAGGTACAAAGAGCCCATCCTCTTGTTAAACAGGACGCACACTCGACTCATTGATTGAGTTGTCACTGCACGAACTGGCAAAACGGGAGCTTCACCGATCTTACCGGAAACGTTAAAAAATGGACGATCACATGGGTCCAGGACCAAATCCTTTCACCGCGAGATTTGCAGAGAGACGCTTGAAACGCAAACCATCGAACACGAAATGGCTGCTGCTTCTAGCGACGCTGTTTGCCTTTAGCGCTACCACGATACTTTGCAGTTACTGTTTCCGTCTTCGTAAGCATGGTACACCGATAGCCTTGTATCAGAGCCATATTGCAGGAGGGGCCGCAACGACAGAAGTCATCACTACCACCAATGCCAGGAGACGGAGGGACGATGGAACAGTAAAGTTTGCACCTTCAACCCCGAAAGCCAAGGAAGATAAACCCGCGGAGGTTTCCATTCACTGCAAGATGGTGTGCAGCAAGTAAGTTCAACTTAACTCTAACCTGAAACCCATCCATCGACCCAAGCAGTGATCCCAACGCATATTGGTTTACTCCCAAAAGAGCCGGGGGAGGAATCCGCTCCACCTAACCTTTTTCCCGATATCGCTGCTGTACAATTTTTTTTTAAGGAATTGGAGCCTTTGGTAGTTATAAGAGTAACTCTTTGCAGTCATTTTGACACTTATCGGACATAGGCCTACATGTGCAGCGCGCATTTTGTCGAGATGGTTCAGCCGAAATGTATACTTTTTTCCTCTGCGATGTTCAATGGACGCAGGTTGGCACGCATGTAACCTTGAACTTCAAATGAAACGGTTTCTTCAAAAGATTCCAAAATATATAAGCTAAGCACAGTCTGGTTCTTAGGGAGGGTAGAATCTACCCCCTCCCCCCGGTGTGAGATGGGCCAAAATTACCCTGCTCATTTGGGGTTAAGGCACAGGTGTTTAGTCTTTGGGAGAGACAAAAACGCACATCTTAGTCATTGGTGTAACTTAAAATTCATTGTCCCCTTAGAATTTATTAAGGGGACACCTTGGGATGCATAAAACAAATAAAACTGGATTTGAACATAGGCCTATAGGTTGTAAGTTACAAGATATCAGATGGATGCCAACCTGTTGTGAGCTTTTGGAGAGTTTATTTGGGGGAAAGGGCTGTCTGTGCTTTTGTAAACTATAGTGCATGTTAACTGCTAATTTGCGGCCAAATTTCTTCTTTCCTGCGAATTTAAATTTGAACACACTTCCAGATCAATGTTCAGTTAACTAATCTAAAAAGATCAATTTAGTCTAAATGTAAAAAGGCATACCATTGCACCCTCCAATCAGGCTACAGAGGCTTTTCACGTGATCAAACATAACGGCAACGGCATTTTGGGAGGCGGGCCATGTTCCATGGAGGCGCGTACATTTCTGAATCGGGGTATTTCCACGCTACAGAAACTCCGGTGTTAAAAATAACACCGATGGTATAAAATTTTACTCTTTACTGATGTTCATTTTGGGCAAGGCTTTTGGTGTTAAATAACACCAATTTTTTGGTGTTTGACTTAACCAACAAATGTGGGAGTAAAATAATTCCAAAATGGTGTTTATTTTGGGCAAGGAATGTGGTGTTAGGTAACACTGTTATTTAGCATTACGAGAAACCACACTTGTACTGTGTTAATTTTAATACCCCGAATGGTGTCACCCCATCTCTATAGTGGTCACAATAGTTTTGCTTTGGTGTGACACAATACCTAGGAATTCAAGAAATTCTACAAGGAGTTTGAATCTCAAATGACAAAACTATTGACAATTGATTGCATTTTTATTGCTGAGTAGGGGACAGTGTGGTTACACACTAAAAGATAAATACCCAACGTTGCGTAAAATCTTACTCTTTGTGGTGGTGAAAAGGGAACATGGTCGTTTGCGGCTTAAAGCGCTGTAGGTAACACGGGTTGTGTCAAGTTTTACTCAACATCTGAGTAAAGCGTTTACCCAATAATGACGTCAAATTTCGTACGTAATTTCATAGTGTCAAAACTGTACCCCACAAATGAGTAGCCATATTCTCTTGACGCTACAGCTGATCCAACGTCACTTGTGTGTATACTGAAACCAAAATGTTGGGTCAATACTGAAACATGAATTTTTGCAGCACACAATGGACAGTCAGAATATGTATTCAATCACAAATTTCTTTACGTTTATTCACAAAAATCAGCTTGAAAGCACTAGTCTTAAAAACAAAATGGGCCTCAACAGGCCCATTTTAAAAGTATGTTAATGTAAGCAAGGTTAAATACGTTTGAAGCATAAACCAAATTTACATATAATAGACAGGTTATAACCGAAACAATATATATAAATATATAACTCTATGATAAATCAACTTTTCATAACTTACCTGAAAAAAGGAGTTAGCCCATATTTTGTCCGTTTAGAAAAGGTTATATGTTTTTCTTTTTGAACTTATTATTTTGTGGATATAAAAGGCTGAACAGTGGAAAGGGAAAACACTTATTTATTTACGTTTTATTTACATCAAAACCTTTCACACTCACTTTTTATATCTAATTGATTCAGTTCTGTTTTTGTTTTCATTTTGAACTTAATTATTTTGTGTACAAAAAGGCTTGACGGTATTGAGGGAAAAGACTCCAATAAAATGTCATTTACACCCAAACTTTTCTCATCTCAATTTTTATGTCAAATTGACTCAACGTTGATTTGTTTATTTTGAAATTAATTATTTTGTCGACTAAAAGATTTGAAAATATGGAAGGAAAATACTTGTTTAAGTGCTCATTACATCCAAGCTCTTTATTTTCTTTTTTTCCAAGTCCACACAACTCAATGTTGATTTTTCTTCATTTTAAACTGACTCATGTGGTGCACATGAGAGGGTCAAACTACAACTGAAAAAAAACCAAAATGACATTTACATCAAAGTTTTTCGAACCTCAATTTTAAGTCCACTTCACTCATTGTTTGTATTTGTTCATGTCAACTTAATTATTTCTTGAACAAAAAGTCTGAATAGTATAAAGTGAAAACACTGGAATAAAAGGCATTAACATTCAAACTGTTCACAATTTCAGATATGGAGTCCTGTCACTGTGCAATGTACTTTTGAAGTAGTATTGAAAAATAACCTATTTGAGGGTAAATTGATAGTCGGCACCAAAAACCCTCACTGATCCTGGCTTGTCATGGATAGGTACTATAACCCGACAGGTTATATGAATCGACACAAGAGGATGACTTGGGACAAAGTTGTACAGTAGTTGATGTGGTTTAATTATTCGGCTGGCTCGATGTGCGGCTCTCTGCCTGATTGCCAGAGCTCATAGGGATTTTATACATTTGCTGGACATTCCATTTTTCATCCGTCCTACAAGTGTCCTTGCCTTATTAGGTATTGGCCACTAGTCTTTGAATATTAATACAGCACGCATGAATATGTTTGGTTCATTTGGATTTGAGGGTAGGGTTAGTCAAATTAATAAACACTGACTTTTCCTTATAAGGCCGGTGGGCTGCCTCATGACCCATCCGGTCCAGCCCTGCTTTCCTCCCAAGGGCCTAGTGGTTCAACTAGTCATTCCTTAAGTGAGTCTCATTACTTGGAAAGCGGTTCTACTCTTGAAGGTCAATCCGTGCAACTTAAGTAGCAATACAACATGTGCTATTGTAACATGGTGATAGTACATTGTAGATTTTGGAGCGAAGGGGTGACCTGGTGGCGGATTCTTGTAGCGGCTAAGTTCAATCAAGGATTGGATACATCAACTGTGGCTCTCCTCTTAGTGATCACGAAGGCCTGTCCATGTTTTTAAAAGTCCCTCCCCCCGAACAAGTACAAATGGCTGACTTCTTGTAGATCCTGTCTAGACAGTATCATTCCAAACTGACCCCCTCTTGGAAACGATTGGACAAGCAAGTACCCAAGCTGTTATTGCCTTGGGACAGATTGGTATCTTGATTGTTAATATTATGCACTTTCATATGGTAATGGAGCAAAAGGCGGGCATATAGTCCTCATTCCTGGATAGAGAAAATATTTTTTCATCTGAATTCAACAGCAATACAGCTAAAAAAGGTCCACTCGTACCTATCCTGGGACAGAATAAAATGCCATCCTATGTGGATTGCAGAAGGTCTATAAACAAAGCATGGTGCAAAATGTTTATTTTGGGTAAATGATTAACAACAATCTCGCAGATTTCTTACAGATTTGTTTGTGAGTGAATGCCATCGTTAAAGTCACTGTCAAAACTGTTCTTGAATTACCGTCGGCCGCACAGGCTATACCACGACTTGAAGGAATTAAGTCCTGAAAATGTGTGCGACAGAAACAGGTCATGGTACAAAATTGATATCCTGTTTTTCAATGAAGACTGTAAATCACCAAAGAGTTGCAATGATTTGAGAAGATTGCAAAGAAAGTGCTCAGTGCAACCAAACACACATGCCAATACAGTGCCTGGGTAATTACATTTTGATTAGCTGTGTGTTTCCATGCACGCATACAATTTACAGAGATTTAAGGCATTTGTTTTAGGCAGCGTATTTCCACTTCGCTATTTCCCTTCATAAAATATTTTAAATTGCATCTTCCCTACTACATGTTTTTTTAATAGTCTTTGAAGATTTGCACTCATTGCTAGCCAACCAACATAGTATCAAAATTAAAATGTAGCTAACAGCCTCTTTTATCTTAAGACAATGATCAGACCTAAAATTATGATGAACGAATCTTTGAATTTAACAAGACTAAAAAAAATTACCCATCTTTCCAAATTTTTCAATTGTCAATGGTGTGGGTGTGAAGTGGAAAAAAGTAGAGATCAGCTGATTCGAAGCACAGTTACATGCCTGGTTTTCCTTTTCATTTTTCATCATCTAACACAGTAAACTTACGTAGCCCTTTCCATGTGGATCCCCTAAACATGGACATGCATTCACGATGGATTGAACCATATCAGTCTTCATGTCGGAGCTTGGCCTGATGAAAGAGAAAAAGGTTTTGTAATGATATGAATGTTAAATATTAGCAGTAACTACAAGCTTAGAATTAAAGTTTACATCCCAATCATTGCCGGTTCCACAAATGAGTTTGGATTGTGGTATATTATGTATATATTGTGAATATTTCTGAATGAAAAGCTTTTCATACATGTTACTCTTGGAGGCATGGAAAACTCTTGACTGTTTCTGCTTGCAGAGCCTGGCAGTCAAAGATAAATGACACCGTGGAGGAAGGAAAGACACGGACATGTGCTGTGCTGTTGGCCAAAGGTTGTACATGATCGATAAAAAGAATATTTCTTTTTCATATGAACATGACTCACTGAAACAAAGTCGTGGAAAGACAATCGTTACATTCAAACCGGGAATGGGAAACTCCAGATCCAACTTTATCAGCAGATCAGCAACTGTCATTCTGCCAAGGAAATCGCCCCAATTCCACTGTAAGTCGATCGACGCGACCACTGCACTCAGCAATAGAGTGAACTCACGCGGTGGTTGTCTCAGCAACATTTAGCAGTGTTTGGCATCATTTTACTCAATTCGAGGAACTGTGTACTCGTTTAAAAGCATATCCTCATTTTGTTTACCACTTTTTAGGTAAACTTGACCTAGGTTTGGGGGGAAATGTGTTTTCATACACCTTTCTAGCGTCAACAACGGACATTTTTAGTAGTGCAACATCAACAGCTCCAATTTACCGTTTTAGGGGTACCGGCAGAATCACCGCTGATGATCACACCTGTTGATTAATTTGAAATTGACAATGAGAGGCTGTTAATAAGATCACTGTGTGCTCTGACAACAATATAATTTTTTTTCCAATTTTTGAAACGAAAAGTATAAAAGTATTTGTAGGGTATATTCAAGCGGTTTAAATCTTTCGGCAGCTTTATTAATCTAGGAACATGAATATTCATATAGTACTTGACCTTACACCTACAGTAAATTATACCAAGAATTAGCATGAGAACCACCCTATTGAATATTGGAGTACGGCTGTGCTGTGTTAAACCTTGCACAGAGCAATACCAGTTAACCAAATATTCTGTCTTATTTCTGTTCTAAATATACAGAAAAGAGATTAAACAAATCTTATTTTTAAAATAACTTTGGCAATACTCTCAATTCAAACATGTCACACAACCACTCTCTACTGGAACTACTCGAAAGAACACGTCTCAGAGAGACATGCTAGGTAGCACCCCCTGTTGGTTTCTTTGGGTGAGGAGGGCTGCTTTTAGTGTCTGGTTCACTGGAGTTTATTGCCAGGGTAACGTCACTTGCAGTTCTAGGGTCACAACCTATAGAGCTGGGAATTGCAAGTAAAACCTACTTTAAAGAATGGACTATTACAGACAAGTTACCGGTAAATGCACACTGTCCTATGTACATTTACCACAGTGTTAGGGTCCTGGGCTTATAAACTTGTAGTGTAGGCCTTTAAAAAGCAATTCATGATGAAATCATTGTATTTTTCTAAAAAGAGTCCCATCCAAGGATACAATTTGGCAAACTATCCAAGAAACGTATGAAAGTTGCTGTTTCCAATGTTCCCCCTTTTAAAAAAAGGTGGGCATGAAAATCTACTGCTACAGTGCTTTTTGGCAGAATGTGCAGTAAAGGGTATCATTGAAAGATGCTGTTACAGACATAAATCAGGTTTAAGTACGTGTATGTACATGTATAGTTGGCCCTCAAGTGGGAAAATTGGGTACAAGGCATGTCAACCAAAAAATTAAGCCGACTGTAGTATGGAATTACTATAGGCCAAAATGTAATTTGTGTTTGGTTATTTAGATAATTTGTTATATATATTTAGATAACTTTTAGCTCGGATGGAGTCTTTTGACAGGCCAGGCTGTGTGTCTGTCACGCGTATATAAGCAATACTCATGCGCGCATCAGCGTAATTTGTGCAGGGCATGCACCAGGCATGTCTTGATGGAGTGAACTTTTTGAAGGACGATTCAAGTCTGAAGAACATCAACTTTTAAGACACCAAGTTCCACTTCTTCTACAAAGTTGCCCTTGAACTCCCTGAGATTTCTCCAACTTCCACAATGGGCATCTTAATTCACACAATTTCATCATCCATTTATCGGATTGTAAAGGTTGAATGACAACCAAGGCAAGGTACCAAGCACGCAGGCACATAACGTTTCACGAGAAATATCTAGAGCGGCTCGCATTCCATAATTTTATATCAACCAATCAGAAGGCTTCTTTTCAAAGACGCATGCTCTGTAAGACAACCATTTGCATGTAACACCGATTCTTCTTTTAAATTTCAATGCCTAAGGAATTTTATCACCCCTCTGTGACACCAAAATCCATTCCAAAAGAATTAAAAAAAAAAAAAAAATTGGTGTTAGAAATTTAACACCACAGTTGTTGGATGTATAAGGCAATTTCATGTGCGCAAGAACGTCCGACATTTCCGCACACATTTGTGTGGAATTGAAAAAGTGAACGTCAAAAATCACGTGACTGAAAATCCTCTGTGAATCCGTGAATAAGAAAAGCAAGGCGATTGGCTGATGGGGAGTTATTGACGAATTGTGTACACTATGATCAACTGGCCTCGCAAAGATTGATCGATCCCTCGGCCGCAGATCGACCGATGGCGCTCTAAAATATATACACTCGTATATTTTGAAATAACCTCACAGTAATGACCGCTCAGTTTTTCAGAGCTGCATGCAACCCCCTCCCCCATTTCTGGTGCCCCTCCCCCCATTTCTGATGATCTGTAACTCCAAACCGAAATCCACATGAAGGACTTCAAACACGGGAATTCCAAATGTAGGCGCTAAACGGTTAAGTCAGATCATGTCCAAGACTATGCCTGGATCTCGCCGAATACAGATAATCTTAGCCCAAGGCCTAGGCCTATTTAATCAAGTTTTAGATCGGTCGCGAGAAAATATTCAAGATCTGTATAAACCTTATACATTTTTGGTAGACACTCATCTTTGGCATGTCGTTTCAAGTTTTTGTTTCCTTAAGTAAAATGATACCAGTAGCAGAACTGGGACTTCCCAACAACTAAAATGTACTCAATAGCACTCACAAGGGAGAACAAACCCCCCTAAATATGTAGTTCTGAGGTATGATTCTGTAGGAATGTAATACATAATGTACACCTGTATCATTGCCTCTTATAGTATCATATGGTTTCAGCACCCCCCCTTTCAAATTTCCATGGCAAGGTAAGTCATCCCTCCACAATTCCCTCCCCCTTCCGGCACACAATGTTACGCCATTTGTTGAAAAGAAGGAGTTAAGTCGCCTTTCCATATATGTTGTTTGGGTGCGTTGAGTATGCGATGCGTTTCTCTTTAACAGACACAAACATCGACCTATTAACATTACACACGTGTGCGTTTCATTCAGCCGTCAAAATCGCCCCGGTAACGATTTTGCCGGATACGCAACTCTTGGCGCAAGTGTTGATGCGCATACTCTGTAAAAAACCCTGTATTTTTACAGCATTTTCCTGGCAGTTTGGCCGCCATTACCTTCCCGTTTTATTACGGGAAACTGTATTTTTACGACCGGGATGTGAAATACAGTGTCGAACGAACTGTAAAATCATGGCCTCGCTGCTGTAATTTTACAAATGGGCCAAGTAAAAATACAGTAGCTCCAAAGTAACATTTTGTAGATCGACGTGTAAAATGACAGCTTTTAATGTATAATTTCATGGGAAAAGTCGTGTAAAATCACACCCTTTGTATTAAAACGTAGGTTTCCATTGAGACATCCGTCAAATTACATCCCACTACTGTGAACTCAGCGTAAGAATCCCGTGCAACAACAGGTATTTTCCTGTATTTTT